ATTCTTAGCCCTGAGGCTGTCGAAATGCAGCTTCGGCATTCCATGACTTGGAACTCTGGGACCTGGCTCAGGTCCCTGCAGACAGTGGGCAGTACACTCACCTCCACTGGCTTCTTCAGCACCTTGTAGGCTACTTAGCAACCTGGACTCTTCTCCGCTTCAGAAAGAACCTTGAACATGGTGCTCATAAAACATACCTAAGTTTGCACACTGTAATTCATATCAAACGGGAATGATAACCTTGGGCATTCTGAGGCCCGTAGTGTTTTCACTCCCAAGATGCTCCAGGGCAGGACCTTTCTGAGGGGGTCAGAGTGATGCCCTGTGGTTTCAGAAGTACCCACACATTGGCCACCAGGTATGTGCCAGTTTCCAACATCTTATTGACTATCAGACTTCATGTTCAGCGTGTAAAACCCAGTGTGGCCCGTTTGCCTGCTGCTGGCCAAGCTCTCCAGCATGCCACCCCTGGACGCCTGCTACCATCTCACTGAGTGGCTGTGCCCCTCCTGCCACCACAGACCAGCTCCTTTCTTAGCTGGGCTGCACCCTTCCAGGCTCACAGACACAAGCCTCTTAGAAGTTGTTTTCTCATTCAGTGAGTGCTGGAAGGGGAACTCAGGGCCTCAGGCATGCTAGGCTCAGCACTTGCTCTGTCACTGAGCTACACCCGGTCCCCTTCAGAGTTTGTTTTGTTGTTTAGAAGCGCCTGTGGTACTTGTTCCTTAAACAGTTAAAAGTAGATAATAAGAACTTATACCCACGCAGGGCATAGTGGTTCATGTTATAATCCAGGAAGGTTTGTGGCTGGCCTGGGCCACAGAGTGAATTCCAGGTCAGTCTGAGCTATAGAGGGAGACTCTGTCCCAGAGGAAAACGGAAAGCATTCTTTTCTTGTTTGGAGAAAGTGAGTACACTCTTGGGGCTAACTCACAGCAGCTAGGACCCTGGGAAGTGCACTGGTGCGTGCCCCCCTCAGATGCAGAATTACTGTGGCAGTGGCAGGTCACTTCCCTGGGCACCTGAGCACCTTTGCCGAGTACCACACGTGCCGTGTTGCTACAGGCAGCCCCATCAAGGCAAAACCCAAGCAATCCCTGGGAAAGAGACTGAAACTGACCGCGTGGATATTTTCAGCGCATCTCAGTGACCCGGAAGGATTTTTGCATCCAAGAGGCCAAGACCGTCTCGAGCCAGCTGTGTGTTTGCCTTTCTCCAGTTTTAATCCAGATTTCTTACTTTGTGACAACATTTGCTTTAAAAATACACTTAGTGCTGGAAGAAGTACACTGACAAAAGTGACCAGTGTGGCCCTGAGCTTAGGTTTGAACGCAGCCGACTTCCAACTTTTCATCTTCCCCGCTAGTTTATCAGAAACCACACACTTTCCTCCAGGGTTGGGAATGGCACGAAATGTAGGTCTTTCCCTCAACTAAACGGATAGGCTTAGGTTTTTAAAGGGTGAGGTTGATGAAGGGAAGAAAGAGGGTCCCAGCATGGCTTCTCTAGCTCCTCCCTGGCTCTGGCAGAGCTGAGCCAGGATCAGCAGCTAGGCCTTTTCCTTTCAGAACTGGGAAGGCAGCTGTCAGCTGCATAAGGTCTTGGTTGTGTTCCACAGACCTCCTCTGTTGATGAAAAGGCTCTTGTTCCCTGAGAACTCAGTGGCCCCTAGGGACTACAACTTCCTCCTTTGCTTTTGAAAACCTGAGTTCAAAGCTAGGCTTGGTGGTTTATGTCTGTAATCTCAACACTAGGGAGGCCGGGGCAGGAGGGTAGCCTTTCAAGTTCAACACTTGACATTTTGAGTTCCAAGCTAGCCAGGGCTACATTATCAGACCTTGCCTTAAAACACACACACACACACAAAAGAGGGACTGGAAAGATGGCTCAGCAGTTAAGAGCACTGGCTGCTCTTCCAGAGGACCCAGGTTCAATTCCCAGCACCTACATGGCAGCTCACAACTGTCTGTAACTCCAGTACCAAGGAATCCGACACCCTCGCACAGAAAAATAAATCTTAAAATACATAAATAAATACATAACACAAAAAAAATTAACTCCAAGTTCAGATGTTCTCCATAAAGGATGTCCCTCAAGATCAACACCCTTCCAGGGAAGCCCCAGGGTCTGGAAGACAGATTATATGCCCTTACTTTTTTGGGGGGGGGGGTTAGGGTGAGGTGGGATAGGTTATCACGTAGCCCAGGCTGGCTTCTAAGTCAGTAAGTAGCCAAGGATGGCATTGAGCTTCTGTTCTTCCGAGTACCACATCTGGTTTATGTGGTGTTGGGGAACAATGGGCCTTGTGCATGCCAGGCAAGTACTTTTCCAGCTGAGCGTCACCCCAGCTCTATAGCCTTAACTTTAAAAGAGAAAACTACAATGAAAGGAACATTTACTTTTTTTTTTTTAGATGTTTATTATAGATTCAAATTTTAAAAAGAAAAAACCTGTTTTCTTAAGGGTCCTGGCGCCAGGTTTCAGTTTTAGTAAGTGTGAAGTGGGCAGCATTCTTGGAAGGGCCTCTGGCAGAGTTAAGTCCAGGGGACTTCCCCTCCTGCCAGCAATGCCCCAGGGATTCAGCAAGAGGGAGAATTTTGCACCACCCCCTAGCATGTAGCCAGAGGCCCATTGTAGCTCTGTGCCACTGTAGAAGCTGTCTGAGCCTCATTTAAAGTTGCAGTTACAGACACTCACTATATGGAGAAGGCTGAAGTTTATAACCGATTCACCCCTACCTACTCCCCCAGGGGCTTTTTTCTCTCTCCTGTTACCCTGGTTCTGTAACTGGGACTGACCAGGAATTCACTCCTGGCCTTGAACTTAAAGTAATCCTCCTGCCTCAGCCTCTTAGGGTTTATAGGCATGGGCTACCATGCCTTTTCATTCCTTCAGTTTCAGCAAATCCTTGAACCTTTTGTTTTCTGAAAAGTGACTAACCCAAAGTACCGTTTAGCTTTCCTGTCACTCACAAATGTACAGGAACTCACTCTCTATACTGTTACACTGTTCCTGTATATACAGGAGCTCTCTCTACTGTTCCTGCATGTACAGGAACTCACTCACTCTCTCTACTGTTCCTGGTTGGTTGGTTGGTTTTTGGTTTTTCCAGTGCTGGGGAGTTTGTAGACAGGTGCTTTGCCACTGAGCTACCCCTCTCCAGCCTCAACCAGCTCGACCCTTCCTGTACCTGTACCCTTCCTCTTGGAAGCAGTACCTACAGCCCAGGCTTCTCCACAGAGTACACCCAGCTTCCATCTGCTCAAGGGTCATCTCTCAGGAAACCAATGTTGAACCAGACACTAGATCTTCCTTAGAAGGGGGCTAGTTCAAATCATGGTTCCCTCAGGGTTAGGCAAGGTAAGGCAATCTATGTCCCACCTGAAAAACAGAGACGTTTCAGCAGGTTTCTTGAAGGATTAGAATTTAACAGTACCACGTGAAGGCCATAAGGATTCCCAACATATATTTCTTTTTTTCCATTCAAAAAGGGTGACATGGGGGCCTGTGGTCCCTTCTTTCCAGAGAAGCGCCAGATGCTGGCCTAGTTCAGGCCAGGGACTCCAGACCCATGACCTTAACTGTCAAACACTAATTTACCAACCTTGCAATATTTATTATTATTTTAAACTTCTATGTGTGTGCCCGTGCCTGTGCGTGATGGTGCCGAGGCCAGAGGTATTTAGATCCCCCTGGAGATGGAGCTACAGGAGGCTGCACGCCACCGCGAATGGACGCTCTTAAGCACTGAGTCGTCTCTCCAGCCCCTCAAACGTCCAAAAGAAACAGAAAATGTCCCAAAGTTGTGGTAGTGGGATTATCTCACATGGTAGATGAGAATGTTAGCACGGTGTGAGTTAGGAGTGTTCCAGTTCTCAGGCAGGAGGCTATGGCTGTGAAACCCTGGGAGCCGGGTCAGACTCCTAGGAAGCAGGTCTCATTCAGACCACTCGCTAGGGGTCCCTGTTGTTTTGCCTTTAGGCAATAGCATTTAATAGAAATCTCCCCCCTCCCTAAAGAAAGGGAAGACAGATCTAGTGTCAGACTCACTTAGAGCCCCTTTTGGTGACTCCAGGAAGGAACAATGCAGCTTTTGTGCTATTTTCAACCTGGGTTCTAGCCCTGTCTGGAAGGATGGGCTGATCTAGGAAAGCCGAGAAAATGACCTCAGGAACAAAGTCCACCTATCCAAAGCCAGGGCTGGAACCCGCAGAACTGTGTGAGCACTCACAGGGAGGGAAACTGCTAAAATTATTGATATTCATTTTCCACCCTGAATGCAGCCTAGACCCTCACCAGTGGCAGAGTGGTCAGCCTGGGCACTACAAAGGCTTAAAATGCAAATGAGCCAGAACTTCTGGCCAGGCTCCCTATGCCCCAGGAAAGTGCTTGCTGGCAGTCAGGCCTGGAGGGGAATGTTAAAGAGGAGCAATGCTGCCCCCTTGCTGCTGGACCTGCACGCACAGATCAGCACGCATGACTAGGCCAGCCATGACTAGGCCGGCCGGCTCGGAGCGCTTTCCACTTACCCTGAACAATGGCTGGGCTCCCTCATCTCTTACACTGTGCTCTCAGGGTGGGACACCCATAGGACTTGCCCAGAGCCCGTGACCCGGTTCCTCAGGATTACCCCTTGAGCTCACTTCCACCATCACCCCCCACAAAAAGAAACTGGCCGCCCTGGGAAACTGACTCTTCCAAGTCTGGTTTCTTTAAAAAAAAAAAAAAAAAGTTTCATTCTGTTCATTTTCTTTCAGTTTCCATGTTGACAATTTAAAACCAGAAATTATAGAAATCTCCAGTGTAGTTCCATTTCTAGAAACAGCACATTTGGATGTCAGAGGTAAACCTTACACAGAAGAAATTCTCAACCATGAACTTACTCCACACGAACAAACTGAACTCTACGCCCTACTTCCGTTTAGGGTATACACAGCGCCTCCCACTTTAGCATATACCCAACACACAATGCCTTAAAAATAATTCACAATACAAGGGGGGATTTTGTGTTTTTTTTCAAAAACATACTTCATATTTCCTCTTTTATTATATAAATATCAGTTTAACCTTTTACTGTAAGAATATAAACGTTTTAAGAGGATCTTTGTTATCATTTATACAAATTCACAAACAGTACAATTAATTGATAAAGGTCTCTGGGTTTCTCCATGGTCTCATGTTGCTGTGGAGGACTCTAAAAAAATAAACAAACAAAATATCCAACAAAAATATACATCCTACTCAAAAGCGATTTTTTAAGCCACAGTCCCAACCCCCCACCAAAATAAAGCCATCTATTCCTCCATTTAGAACAAAAGCTCTTCAGCCCCGCAAGCTCCCATTTGATAAACAGAACACAGATAGACGTGAAGTTCAGTCTCCTCCCTTCACAGTACAGCCCCAGGCTCTCTGCAGGCCTACGCTCAGCTCTCCCGACAGGAAGCCTCGCTAGGTAACCTTTTTGTGGGAAAACTTGGAAGAGGGTTGGGGTGGGGCATAATTTGCATATATAATACTCCTCTTCGAGACTCAGTCTGCATCTCAAGCAACAAAAAGGCAGTTCTCTCATTTCTCCCGTACATTTGTGCTATAAATTAAATCAAGATTGAGAAACATGGTTGGGTCTTCAAAGCCCAATAGACAAGGGGAAAAAGAAAAGTCACAGCCAGAATGCGGAAGTGGGGACACACTGGGTAGATGGAGGGTGGCAAGAAGTCAAAACAAAAAAGACATACAAACCCAGTGGGCATCTTTCCAGTCTAGGCACAAAAATGTTTCAATCTCAAAATATCTCTCTTGTAGAATTCCAGGGTTTAAGAGAAAAAAAAACTAAAACGAGGTAGCCAGACATATATATATATAAAGCTTTTATATATATATATATATAGAATATATAGAATATACTCAGCAGAAAAAAAGGGAGGACAATGACTTCAGATTTCTTTGAAAACGAAGAGGAAAGCAGATAAAAACGAGTGGGTCGCAGAGTGCCGAAGGGGCGGTGATGGAGACTGGCTTACAGAGGGGTGAAAAGACCGGTGGAGCAGCGCTCGCTTTCTACATATTTCCAAATAAAAACCAGATCACAGTATCCAAATGAAGTGTAAGTGAAGGCAGACATCTTTCCTCAACTCCTCGGGGTTGAACCGCCTAGTCCCTCCCCGCCCCCACCCCATTTCCAAATGCAGTGCCCGGAGATACAGTTGGCGGTGGCTGAATCAGTCTCCATACCCTGCAGAAGAGTGGGCAGAGAAGCAGCAGCGTCCATCTCTCCACCCACTGGGAGAGGAGAGTGGGCAGAGGGAGCAGAAGAACCCCAGATGCAGTGGGGAGGGGCGCCCTAGGAGAAAAGAGCCCAGGCTTTGCGTCGTGGCCCCATGGCGGCCACGGCCATGAACGTGTAAGTGCGCGTGTGAGTGTGCGAGAACAGCGGTGGTCGTGGGGTGAGCAGGGCGGGGCAGGGGAATGGAACTGCCGCCCTCACCTGACCTTCTCACTGTCCGTCATCTGCCAGAGTCCCAGGTTAAGTACCTTGAGGCAGGGCAGCTGCGTGATGCGCTCCAGGCCGCGCTTGGTGATCCTGGTGCAGCCGTACAGGTCTATGCCCGTGAGCTGGCTCAGGTGCTCAGCGATCAGCTCCAGGCCCTTGTCCGTGATGCGCACACACTGTCCAATGTTGAGCGTGCGCAGCCCGTGCATCTGCCGCACCATGCGGTTGATGCCATCGTCACTGATATGGCAAGAGCAAAGGGACAGGGACTTGAGGCCGTCCAGTCCCTGGGCTATGTAAGCCAGACTCTGGTCTCCCACCTTGTCACAGAAAGACACATCCAGACCGGAGAGGCGCAGGCTGCCCATGGCCAGATGCATGATGCCCGTGTCGCTGATGTTGTCGCACGAGCGCAGGTTGAGGCTGCGCAGGCTGCCCATGTGCGACAGGTGCAGAAGGCCCGCGTCCGAGATGCCGCCACAGAAGCTGAGGTTGAGGAGCCGGAGGCCCGTCAGCCCTCGCGAGATGTGCTTCAGGGAGAGATCCGTGAGTTTCTGGCAGTCCTGCAAGGTGAGCTGCTCCAGGCCCAGGCAGCCCTCGGCAGCGCTCCGCGTCATGCCGGCCAGGTGCCCGATGCCCACGTCCGAGAGGTGGCGGCAGCTGCGGAGGTTAAGGCTCTTGAGGCGCTGCAGCCCCCAGGCGATGAGCAGAAGGCCGGTGTTGGTGATGTTGCTGCAGCCCCCCAGCTCTAGCACCTCCAGGCCCTTGAGGTACTGGGCGATGCGGCCCAGGCTGCTGTCGGTGATCTGCTTGCAGAGGCTCAAGTTGAGAGCGCGCAGCGAGCCGATCTCCTGCACGAACGCGTGGCCCAGGCCGTTGTCGGTGAGGTTGTAGCAGCCGCTGAGGTTGAGGCTCTCGATGTTCGCCATGCCCTGGATCACGTAGCTGAGGCTGCGGCGGAGGCTGAGGATCTGCACGCGGCGGATGCCCCGGGCCTGCAGGCTGGGGAACAGCGACGGGTTCGCCCGGCGCAGGTGCAGCTTGGCCTCCACGCCCCGCCACACCGACTTGTGGTAGGCGGCGTCCCGCCAGGCCGTGCACACCTGCGCCGCGCGACCCTTGTCTCGGACGTCCAGGTAGCCGAAGATCATGGCCAGCAGCTCCGGGAACAGGCACGAGATGTGGGTCTCCATCTTCCTTCAGCCGCTACGCCGCGCCGGCTGCAGGAGGCGCGGGCGCCGCCGCCGCTGCCGCCGCCCCGGGAGGCGCCGAGAGCGGGGCCGCCGCGGGCCAACGGCCGCCCCTCCCCGCCTTCCGGCCGGGCCGCCGCTCCTCCTCCCGGCGCGTCCGAGCGGCGCTTCCTTCCTGCCGCCCTTCCCGCCCCCGCGCGGCCGCTCGGGCCTCACATCCCGGCCGGGGCGGGCGCCGCGTCCGCGCCCGCGCGCCGCCGCCGCCCCGCGCCCTGCGGCATCCCGCGCCCGGCCGCGTCGCTACTGCGCGCGCCGGCGAGGCCCGGGCCGGGCGCTCGGGCTACGGACGGCTTCCTGCTGCCTTTGTCTGCCGTCCGCGGTTCAAACCGCCCAGCCCCGGGCTGCCCGCACTCGGCCGCCGCGCGGGGGAGACTCCGAGGCCGTCGCGCGCCGCTCTTCCCCCGCCTGGGTCGGGCGAGTCCGGCTCACGGCTGCGGGCGGCGGAACGCCACGGAGTCACCGGGGCCAGCGGGCTCGCACCTCCGGAGTCGGCTGGCCGCGCTGCGCCCTCCGCGTCCTCCGCGCCGGCTCCCCCGCTCAGTGGTACGCGCCCGCGCCGCCGGAACTGGCGGAGCCGTTTCCCTGGCAACCGGGCTCTGCCCTCGGCCGCGGACGCTTAACCCCATCCGCGCCGGGATGGTCCGCAGCCGCGCCGCACCACGCAGCCCCTGCGAGAGCCGGGGAGCGCACGTCCGCCCCCTCGGTATCCACGCTTCCTCTGCGTCCTGGCTCGCCCGCACACTCAGTCGTCACTTGTCTGCTTCCCGCAGCGCCTTTAACCATCTCACCACACCCACTGCCCCAATCGGGCGGCCATCCCACCATTCCTTTCTCTCGGTATTGAGTCTTAAATTAGAGGAGAAACTGGGTTTTAGTCAGCGTAGTTTGACAGTCCCCGCTGTAGAAATTTCTGGAATTGTCCAGTGTGCCTTCCTCCTACCATCTGGTTGTTTCCGTAAACCCATGTGAGTTCCTTTCCCTTTCAACTTTATTTGTCAAAACTCTGCCCTCTCCTTTCCTGCCTAGCCTCCTCCGGGTTTTGTCTTCTAGAGCACAGGTTGCATGGCCCCGCTGTAGGAACACTTCATACATTCTATGTGCTGACACACATACACGGGTAGGTTTGATTGAAGACCCTCCAGCCCTGTGCTTTCTGTGTGTTTTATGAAACTAGGGCAGAGCTCAATTCTACAATGTAGTCTTGGGTCTTAAATGTCCTCATGAAGGGTAGGATTTCAAAATTTTAATTTTACTACCCCTGAGCCAAGCGAAAAAGACCCTGTTCAGAGAAAAAGACCCTGTGAATTATTAGATAAGTCAGACTGTTTTTTATCTAGGTGCACGATTTGTAACTTCTCTGTTCCCTTGCGTCTGTGGGAAACTGAACTTTTTTTTATTACGTTGTATTTGTTTATGGTGGGGAGGGGTGGATGTGTTCTACAGACAGCATATACAGGTCAGAGGGCAGCTTGAGGGAATGAATCCGCTCCCTCTACCACGTGGATTCCGGAGGCTTAGTCATGAACTTCCTGGCTGACATCTCTCTCTGAAGATTTTAGATGAATTCCAATTCGGAATATGGTCTCCTAAGTTTTTAGGCACTCTTTCCTAAGTAGGAGATACTTGTTAGACCCAAGTCCATACAGAAGTACTAACAGGCGTAATAAACAGTAAATCCCACCAGTTCTTAAATCAGGAAATGCAGAGTCTAAAATTCATCCGTGCAGCCTTGTTATCTCACACGTCACATTCTGTGAGGCTTTTTACGGCCTTCCAGAATAATAGACCACATTACCAAAGATACCTCCTGAGTCCAGTAACACCTTCTGCCTAGACCGCAGTTTGTACTCAGCAGGTGCGGTCAACTGGGTTACCTTCTGCTTCAAAGGGGAGACACGGGACATGGAACTGGGATGGGAGGGATGGCAACACGGGACGTGTCACGGCTGGACATGTGACGACACACAACCGTTCTCCCCGCTACTGTGAGGCCTGGAGTGGGATACCAGGCTCACAGGCTTTGCAGTGAGCTCCTTTCTTGGTGAAATATCTTTCCAGCCCAAGCAGGTTTTTATCACTTTTTGTTCAGTGTGTGTGTGTGTGTGTGTGTGTGCGCGCGCACACTCCTGTGCATGCCTTTGCACATGCAAGTGAGTGAGCCAGCCCCATGACACTGTGTGGAGGTCAGAGAACAATTTTTTGAGAGTTCGTTCTCTTCTACTATGTTGGCCCAAGGAATCAAACTCAGGTCATCAGACTTGAAAGCAAGTCTCTTTAACCATGGGACCATCTTGCCTGACTTTAAAGGCACATTTTAAAAAAAAAAAAGACTCGGGCAGTTTCTTTTATTTATTTGTTTGTTTGTTTATTATGTATACAGTGTCCTGCCTGCATGTATGCCTGCAGGCCAGAAGAGGGCACCAGATCTAATTATAGATGGTTATGAGCCACCATGTTGTTGCTGGGAATTGAACTCAGGAATTAACCACTGAGCCATCTCTCCAGTCCCTCAATTTTGATGCTTGAATGTAGATGTCTTTGTATTTATTCCAAAGCACCTACATTTACCTTCTTCTACCTTTTTTTTTCTTTTCCTGACTGTCCTGGAACTCGCTATGTAGCCAAAGTTGTCCTGGAAATAGTGACAATCCTCCTATCTTGCCTTTCTAAATGCTGAAATTATAACTGTGAAATTATAAACTTTTCTAGTTGCCTTAGTGTGCCTTAACCCCACTTCACACAAAGCAAAGTGTCAGGCCTAACCTATACAGTATGAACTTTGAGGTTTTTTTCCTTGCCTAGAAAGGTCATTCTCAGTGGCACACGCCTTTAATCCCAGTACGTGGAGGCAGAGGCAAGTGGATCTCTGTAAATTCGAGGTTAGCCTGATCTACAAAGCGAGTTCCAGGACAGACAGCTACACATAGAAACCCTATCTCTAAAAAAAGACCCTATTTCTAAAGAAAGACCATTCTCCCCAGAACAGTCATCCAACGGCACCTCTAAAAATTGAACACCTGTTCTACTTCCAGCAAAACTTTGTTGAATTAAATGCTAGAATTTTTACTGACACACAGCTCTTCATCTAAGGTGTTCAATTTTAAGTTAGAAGAAGTTTCAGCTATGTGATTATCATATTCATTAGCAGCAAAAAACATTTCAGGAAATAAACACCAATAGGGAGAAAGCATGGCCCCGAATGAGTCTGTGCTGAGTCACTGGTGGCTGTTTTGACACTGTGAAAATGGCCTCCCTTTCCGGGCCTCAGTTTCCTTATCTAACACTATTCCTGTCCTGGTGCCTTCAGGCGCCTTCCAATGGCAACTCCACAGAGCCCAGCCCAAGTCTGGAGAGCCCCTTACTTCCCCATGTGCCTTGTTTCTAATTCAGGCTTCAGATGAATCTTTTCAGAAGCCAGACCTGCCTGTACACTGCTATACTCTCAGCTGTCCAAAGAGGCTGAGCAGGAGGAGCAAAGCCAATGTGAAGCCAGCCTGGGCTACGTGGCAAGACGCTCTTTTTAATTCTGGAAGTGGTTCCCTCCCTCCACCATTGTCTAGGGGTTGAACTGGGTTCTCAGGCTTAACGGGACTGTGTTTTCTGGCTGAGCCAGCAAGGCCACCATCTCCATTCCTAGATCCTTTTGTTTTTCTGAGACAAGCCTCTTAAACTGGAACTATGTATCAGAATGTGACCCTGAACTCCTACCTTGCTTCTACTTGCTAAATGCTGGAGTATAGGTGTGCACCACCACATCCGGCCTCTGCTGTGGGGGAGCAAACCTGGGGCTTCGTGAATGCTAAGCAAAGACTCTATAAACTGAGCTATATCCCCAGATTACTAAATTTTTTTTTAATTTAAAAATTTTTATTTTGGGTATATTAATGTTTTGCCTACATATATGTCTGTGATGTATATATGTGCCTGGTACCCATGGAGGCTAGATGAGGCGTCAGATCCCTTGGAAGTGGAGTTACAGATACTTGTGAGCCATCATATGGCAAGAAAACACAAATATCTGCTTAACATTTGTGTAAACAAGCACAAATAAGGTTGTGTCTGTCAGTTTTTTGTTGTTGTTGTTGCTGTTTTGGTTTTTTGTTTTGGTTTTTGTCAACACAAGCTAGGGTCGTCTGGAAGGAGGGACCCACAACTGAGAGAATGCCTCCAGAAGTCTGGTCTGCCGGGAAGTCTGAGGGCCATTTTCTTGATTAATGGTCGATGTGGCCGAGCCCAGCCACTGTGCGCAGTGCCACCCCTGGGCAGGCGACCCTGGGAGGTGTAAGAAAGGTAGATGAACAGTAGTCTGAGTCACATGACTCAGCATTCCTCCTCTGCTTTAGTTTCGGCCTTCAGGTTCATGCCTTGACTTCCCTCGAGGACAGGCTAAATTATAGTCCTGATTTCTGTAACTAGTCACATGGTCTTAGCTGGTTTTTATAACTACCTTCCTTCACTCCCCATTCTGTGTTTTCTTCCCTCAGTAGGTCCTGGAGGGGTGACCCATATATCCATTCCTGAAGGGTCTCGGTCATTTATCACCCTGCCTAGATTGAACTGTGGTAGTTTCCCGTTGACCTTAATCACAGGATATAGTAACACTGAGAAATGCCCTAGAGCAGCTGTTCTCAACTTGTGGGTCATGACCCCTTTGGGGACTCGCATATCAGATGGTTACATTATTATTTATAATGTAGCAAAATTACAGTTATGAAGTAGCAATGAAATAATTTTATGATGGGGGGGATCACCACAATATGAGGAACTATAATAAAGGGTCACAGCGTTAGGAAAGTTGAGAACCTCTGCCCTAAAAGATCTCTTCCTCCACTCCCAACATAATCTTCCTTATCTCTTATTTGTAGACAGACAATCCAGTTTGCCCCGGTAGTCTGTATCAGTCACCCCTCCTAACACCGTTATTCCTGTTTTAGCCCCTTGGTTTAAGGTGATCAGAAACCCAACAACATAAGCAGAGGGGAAATCTTAGCTTACGGCTCAATGCAACGTTTGCTGTGTCTCCTAGCAGAAACTTTCTCCCTCTGGAGCAGTATAAGGTCTCCCTATGCCAGCAGAGTATAA